GGCACTTAATAAAAGAGTCAAGAACATGAAATGTAAACAAATAGAACCGAGCATCTCTGCTACACCGTTGACTGTGGAACCAGCTGATGATGTGCCTTATAACCTACAACACGAAATCATTCAGTTGTAGAGCGCTGATAAACTGAAAATTTGCTACAACAACCTCCCATTGCTTGAGGTATATAAACATTACATAAACAATTATGAATTTCCTCACTTTGAAGAGACATTGAAATATGTGTCTGCGTTTGGAACAACTTACTCCTGCGAGCAGTTCTCGCAACTTACCATCCATAAGCACAATTATTGTTGCAATAATGTCACAGTCAACAGGTGATTTCACAGTATGCAAAACAACCACTGTGAAAAATAGTGAACTTCCAAGCGCTTTCGTGATTTCTCACATTATCAAGGAACCGCACAATTACTATCCTGTGTGAATTACCAAGCATAATCGAAAAAATCAGAGAATAATAATAATAATAATAATAATCTATATTTCTACAAATGCATGTGTACAGACCATAGCTGACATCAGTGACGTACTACTATATAGAAAGTCCATTGTTATGCTGAGCATTTCCCGCAAATTAGGTCAGTTTTGTCCCAGGATGCGACCCACACCAGTCCACTATCACCCAGGTACCTATTTTACTGCTAGGTGAACATGGACAGCAGGTGTCTTAAGGAAACACATCCTAATGTTTCCACCCGTACCAGGGATCGACCCCCAGACCTCAGAATGCGAACTGAGTGCGCTACCAACCCAGCTACGGGACTTATTTCAAGTGGGATCCTTGTTAATTTTGCCAGCAGTGTGGCTCTGCTAGTAAAGATAAAGCTTGTAACACTGGGGTGAAGTTTGATAGTCTCCACCGTCTCCAACAAGTGCCACTGAAGAACCAGTAGTTCCGGTTTCTCCACTAGTTTTTTTGTTAAGGCAGAACGTTGTCCGCGTGGGCTGGTACTGCTGCTGTGATGGCAGGTCCCGCAAACCAGCCTTCTGAGTATTCTGTGTTGGAGATGTGTATGTTATGTCTGTATTATCCCCCAGGATATATATACACCTTAAGATGTATATGTCTACTCCTGTTACCCCTTTTGGGGTCTAGTTCCTAGGCCAGAAGGACTAGGCTCTTACGCTACCATCCACAGGATAGATATGGGGTGCACAATAAACTAGCCACTTCGGTGGCAAATTTTAATTATCTCAGTGTGTGTGTGTGTGTGTGTGTGTGTGTGTGTGTGTGTGTGTATGTGTATATATATATATATATATATATATATATATATATATATATATATATATATATATATATATATATATATATATATAACACTGTGACTAGCCAAGGATTCGAACCCATGTTGTTTTGGCCCGACTCATTGTGAGCGAAAACCACATGACCCTCTAACCCACAGGACCACCAGACCCTACAAGAATGACGCACTCAGCCAAGCGAGGTGTTTTATCGTCATCCGAGGACATACGGTGGTGTGGGTGCCTCTCAGCTAATTTCATTCTGCTCCGTGTTGAGTGTACTAGCCCAACGAGCAGTATTTTATGTTATTGTAACCACGAACGAGTGATATTGATCAATAACAACACTGTGATTAACCAAGGATTCGAACCCATGTTGTTTTGGCCCGCCCCATGGTGGGCGAAAACCACGTATATATCCTCAGACTTTAATCACTATTGTAGATATTGAAGTATTTCTGCTTGGTGGTGAACAGGTAACATGCAGACTAGACTTTTTTTGTCGTGGTTTTAAACCCAAAAAACCGTATCGTAGCTTATGGTCTGAGATATTACTTAAGGTTGTCGTAGGGGAAGAGTAATTACGACACTCTAATACGTAGTGATCCTGTGATTATTGAGACTTAGCTGGGGTGACCCAGTGTCAGGAGTCTTGTGTACTGACACACGCCACTAAGACCAGTGTCAGGAGTCTTGTGTACTGACACACGCCACTAAGACCAGTGTCAGGAGTCTTGTGTACTGACACACGCCACTAAGACCAGTGTCAGGAGCCTTGTGTACTGACACACGCCACTAAGACCAGTGTCAGGAGTCTTGTCTACTGACACACGCCACTAAGACCAGTGTCAGGAGTCTTGTCTACTGACACACACCACTAAGACCAGTGTCAGGAGTCTTGTGTACTGACACACGCCACTAAGACCAGTGTCAGGAGTCTTGTGTACTGACACACGCCACTAAGACCAGTGTCAGGAGCCTTGTGTACTGACACACGCCACTAAGACCAGTGTCAGGAGTCTTGTCTACTGACACACGCCACTAAGACCAGTGTCAGGAGCCTTGTGTACTGACACACGCCACTAAGACCAGTGTCAGGAGTCTTGTGTACTGACACACGCCACTAAGACCAGTGTCAGGAGTCTTGTCTACTGACACACGCCACTAAGACCAGTGTCAGGAGTCTTGTCTACTGACACACACCACTAAGACCAGTGTCAGGTGTCTTGTCTACTGACACACGCCACTAAGACCAGTGTCAGGAGTCTTGTCTACTGACACACGCCACTAAAACCAGTGTCAGGAGTCTTGTTTACTGACACACGCCACTAAGACCAGTGTCAGGAGTCTTGTCTACTGACACACACCACTAAGACCAGTGTCAGGAGTCTTGTCTACTGACACACGCCACTAAGACCAGTGTCAGGAGTCTTGTCTACTGACACACGCCACTAAGACCAGTGTCAGGAGTCTTGTCTACTGACACACGCCACTAAGACCAGTGTCAGGAGTCTTGTCTACTGACACACGCCACTAAGACCAGTGTCAGGAGTCTTGTCTACTGACACACGCCACTAAAACCAGTGTCAGGAGTCTTGTTTACTGACACACGCCACTAAGACCAGTGTCAGGAGTCTTGTCTACTGACACACACCACTAAGACCAGTGTCAGGAGTCTTGTCTACTGACACACGCCACTAAGACCAGTGTCAGGAGTCTTGTCTACTGACACACACCACTAAGACCAGTGTCAGGAGTCTTGTCTACTGACACACGCCACTAAGACCAGTGTCAGGAGTCTTGTCTACTGACACACGCCACTAAGACCAGTGTCAGGAGTCTTGTCTACTGACACACGCCACTAAGACCAGTGTCAGGAGTCTTGTCTACTGACACACGCCACTAAAACCAGTGTCAGGAGTCTTGTTTACTGACACACGCCACTAAGACCAGTGTCAGGAGTCTTGTCTACTGACACACACCACTAAGACCAGTGTCAGGAGTCTTGTCTACTGACACACGCCACTAAGACCAGTGTCAGGAGTCTTGTCTACTGACACACGCCACTAAGACCAGTGTCAGGTGTCTTGTCTACTGACACGCCACTAAGACCAGTGTCAGGAGTCTTGTGTACTGACACACGCCACTAAGACCAGTGTCAGGAGTCTTGTGTACTGACACACGCCACTAAGACCAGTGTCAGGAGTCTTGTCTACTGACACACGACACTAAGACCAGTGTCAGGAGTCTTGTTTACTGACACACGCCACTAAGACCAGTGTCAGGAGTCTTGTCTACTGACACACACCACTAAGACCAGTGTCAGGAGTCTTGTCTACTGACACACACCACTAAGACCAGTGTCAGGAGTCTTGTCTACTGACACACGCCACTAAGACCAGTGTCAGGAGTCTTGTCTACTGACACACGCCACTAAAACCAGTGTCAGGAGTCTTGTTTACTGACACACGCCACTAAGACCAGTGTCAGGAGTCTTGTCTACTGACACACACCACTAAGACCAGTGTCAGGAGTCTTGTCTACTGACACACGCCACTAAGACCAGTGTCAGGAGTCTTGTCTACTGACACACACCACTAAGACCAGTGTCAGGAGTCTTGTCTACTGACACACGCCACTAAGACCAGTGTCAGGAGTCTTGTCTACTGACACACGCCACTAAGACCAGTGTCAGGAGTCTTGTCTACTGACACACGCCACTAAGACCAGTGTCAGGTGTCTTGTCTACTGACACGCCACTAAGACCAGTGTCAGGAGTCTTGTGTACTGACACACGCCACTAAGACCAGTGTCAGGTGTCTTGTCTACTGACACGCCACTAAGACCAGTGTCAGGAGTCTTGTCTACTGACACACGCCACTAAGACCAGTGTCAGGAGTCTTGTCTACTGACACACACCACTAAGACCAGTGTCAGGTGTCTTGTCTACTGACACACACCACTAAGACCAGTGTCAGGAGTCTTGTCTACTGACACACGCCACTAAGACCAGTGTCAGGAGTCTTGTGTACTGACACACGCCACTAAGACCAGTGTCAGGAGTCTTATGTACTGACACACGCCACAAAGACCAGTGTCAGGAGTCTTATGTACTGACACACGCCACAAAGACCAGTGTCAGAAGACACTGTTGTTCACTGACACTCAAAACAACACTAGAGACCTGTGTCGGGAGACACTCACCATGAGTACAAACCCCACCCGTTCCGTGGATTGTTGACAATCGTGTTATGACGATTTGGGGAGTCAACAATAGTGTCCCGAAGGGTGGGGGGGGGTTGTAGGCTAAGTTTTTTCAGGTATTCACAAATACAGTTACATAGATTATCATATCAATAACAACACTGCGACTAGCCAAGGAGTCGAACCCATGCTGCTTTGGCTTGCCTCATGGTGGGTGAAAACTCATGACGTCGGGAGTACAACACCCAGTTCTGCTGGATGCGCTACTTTTAAGAACTGTATGGTCCCGTGGATTAAGGCGTCATGGGTTTTCGCCCACCATGAGGCAGGCCAAAGCAGCATGGGTTCGAGTCCTTGGCTAGTCGCAGTGTCGTTATTGAACAATACCACTTGTTAGTGGGTACAATAATAATAATAGCAGCATACGTGTAGAGAACCTACGATAACCCTAAAAAAAGGTCAGACAAAGTAACTTATTTCCACTGGAGACTTAAGTTGGGCAGTGAATTAAGTTTGTGTTGTTTATGTTTTACAGATGTATAGCTGGAGAAGTTTAAAGCAGAGTGGCCATGAGTGCTGAGGAAGAGTTGTATAGCAGCAGCACCAGCAGCAGCAGCACCAGCAGCAGCAGCACCAGCACCAGCAGCAGCAGCAGCACCAGCACCAGCAGCACCACCACCAGCACCAGAACCAGCACCAGCACCAGCAGCAGCAGCACCAGCAGTAGCACGTCATCCTGATGACCTGAACTAAACACACACACACACACACACACACACACACACACACACACACACACACACACACACACACACACACTCACACACACCTTTCACTCCCATATTCCGTCCCGAAGATTCACCTCACTAAGACTCCTCACTGGGTGTCCTACATGTGTTGTCTACCAGCGTCGAGTCTACACACGTCTACAACCTGTTTCCTGAAGCGTACAAAACACATTTTAATTAAGGTTCTAGACAAGTTGGAAGGTTCGTTCTCCAGCAAGTGTATGTATACCAGCCATCCTACACTACCACACTCATCAGTCATACCTGACGTACTACTCACCTAACAAGCTGGAGCAACAGACAACAATGGCGTGTGTCAACAAAAACCTCATCTTACTGAAGCTTCTTCTCTTTACTTTTTACGGAGGTGAGGCTGACGTTTATAATTTTGCAAATAATATTGTATTTTTGTCTTTACCTTCGGGTTGAACCGCATGACACTCTGGTGTTTAATTCTCTTTCAGCTTCCGAGAATAATGACATGAGAGGAAATGAAAAAATAACACTAACATGACTAAAAACATGCGTAAACAAGGTGTCATGTTTACTTTGTGTGTTATCATGGTACAGGTGTGAGACAGCCATCTAGCTGTCCCTGGTTCGAGTCCACTGACAGATTACACTCGTAGTGTCCAGACACGTGAGGTATTCCTGTCTTGTCAGGAGAAAATGGAACCACGTTAAACATTTTCCACTCTGGAACGATGTAATATCACAGCTTTCTGTCACGTGAACACACACAACAACAGACGGATCACAGACTTCTCTTAACATTTATTATACCGTCTCACAGACACGTAAGATAACAGATACATCACACAGACTGCTACATACACTCTGTAAACTATTTCCCTGTATTTTTGTACATGTCTTTTTCAAATTCGAGTCGTGAACTGAAGCTGGACTATGAAAGGTATTTGATGTATCGAGAGAATTTACCGGTATTAATACCATATATATAATCATAATTTTGAAGGGACAAATTGAACAAAATCTTATTATTTGATATTAAATGAAATATATATATATATATATATATATATATATATATATATATATATATATATATATATATATATATATATATATATATCGTGCCGAATATGTAAAACTGGTCAATTAGCAAGAACTCATTTAAAATTAAGTCCTTTGTAAAATTTCTCTTATATGTTTAAAGATATATTTTTTCATTAATATTAATGTAAAAATTATTAATTTTGCAATAAAAGAGTCTTAGAAAACTTACCTAACCTTATTATAACAAGAGCAATTTATTTTGGCCTAACCCAACTAAATATATTTTAGATTTGTTTACAATAATTTAATATTAAACACAATGAAATATATTTTTTTCGTTAGCTTAAGAATGATTTTGGCGAAATTATTGCATACACAAATTTTCGCTTGTCCTTTATGGCAAGATGAACGTTGCTATTTAAGCCAAGATCGCAACTTCTGCCTATTCGGCACGACATATATATATATATATATATATATATATATATATATATATATATATATATATATATATATATATTTTATATATATATATATATATATATATATTCCGTAATATTTTCACATTTTTTATATTGCTTTTTTGAGATTTTTTGAGGAAATTCAATTTTTTTCCCACTGTACAGATATGGCATTTTTCACTGTCTTCTATAGTGTCCGTGTGTGAATGTATTGAATAAAACGGAGCTACTGGAGGCCGAAACGTCTTCAAAAAAGATTCCCAGGTGTTACAAATGTCATGGCCCTTCACGAGAGTATAATATTTGTCAGCAAACATGACATGTGTTTCCTGACGCGGGTGTTAGTCATGTGATGACCTGCAGATGGAACTTTTAGTCATCTGGCCGAGACCTTCCACTGGAGAGTATTACATATATGTTTGTTGGTGGCCCGGTGGCCTGGTGGCTAAAGCTCCCGCTTCACACACGGAGGGCCCGGGTTCGATTCCCGGCGGGTGGATACATTCGACATGTTTCCTTACACCTGTTGTCCTGTTCACCTAGCAGCAAATAGGTACCTGGGTGTTAGTCGACTGGTGTGGGTCGCATCCTGGGGGACAAGATTAAGGACCACAATGGAAATAAGTTAGACAGTCCTCGATGACGCACTGACTTTCTTGGGTTATCCTGGGTGGCTAACCCTCCGGGGTTAAAAATCCGAACGAAATCTTATCTTATCTTGTTTTCAACAGCGCTGGGATGTCTGATGCCGTTCCTGACCATCCACATGAGGTACATGGGTCTCAGTATCCAGGAAATCACGTGGATCAACTCAGTACTTCCTCTCACTTCGCTGGTGGGACCCCCGCTGGTGGGCATCTTGGCTGACAGACTGGGGCATTACAGGCCCATCACTGTCGTCTGCATGCTATTTGGTGAGTCTTGGGACTCTGAGATAGGGGACTGTGTGAGAGAGGTAGGGGACTGTGTGACGGGCAGGTGACTGTGTAAGACAGGCAGGTGAGTGTGTGAAAGAGGCAGGTGATTGTGTAAGAGAGGCAGGTGATTGTGTGAGAGAGGTAGGGGACTGTGTGAGAGGGGCAGGTGAGTGTGTGAGAGGGACAGGTGAGTGTGTAAGACAGGCAGGTGACTGTGTGAGAGAGGCAGATGAGTGTGTAAGACAGGTAGGTGACTGTGTAAGAAAGGCAGGTGGCTGTGTGAGCGAGGCAGGTGACTGTGTGAGAGAGGCAGGTGGCTGTATAAGACAGGCAGGTGACTGTGTAAGACAGGCAGGTGACTGTGTAAGACAGGCAGGTGACTGTGTAAGACAGGCAGGTGACGTGTAAGACAGGCAGGTGACTGTGTAAGACAGGCAGGTGACTGTGTAAGACAGGCAGGTGACTGTGTAAGACAGACAGGTGACTGTGTAAGACAGACAGGTGACTGTGTAAGACAGGCAGGTGACTGTGTAAGACAGGCAGGTGACTGTGTAAGACAGGCAGGTGACTGTGTAAGACAGGCAGGTGACTGTGTAAGACAGGCAGGTGACTGTGTAAGACAGGCAGGTGACTGTGTAAGACAGACAGGTGACTGTGTGAGACAGACCGGTGTGTGGAAAATTGCATTTATATGAATGTAACTAATTATGTACATAACAGTAAATGATAACAAAGATAATTATTATTTATCAATGTTACATAGACAAGTAGGAATTTGGGACACCTAGGTCGCAAAAAATGTCCCCCTTCGATACCTACCACTGTCATATCCACAAGTTGCTCTGGACCTATTAATTAAATGAAATATACATACACCAGGAATACTGGTAAATATATAAATTTGTGGACTGTAAATTAAAAAAATTATTGTATATAAATTCACATATACATAACAGAAGGAAAATATATCTTAATATCACTCACCAATTTGACTGGATATTAAGTTGTATCATACTCAGAAAAACCTCACTAACTAAATTTATGAAAACACTGGCCAGAATTATACACAAATCTAGAGAGCTTATCTGAGGTTCCTGGAGCTGTCTTGTCCAGTCGTCTGATATCTCAAGTTATGCAGGAATGCACATCCAACAATTTCACCTCCTATTTGAGAGGTGTCAACAATTTTAACCTCTAGATCACGAAAAATTCTTCCCATTACACCAACGTTTGTACAAAATTCAAAAACCAAAATGGCGAGTCTCCTTCTGCGCAGACGCGACTCTCCGTTTTCTATGACATAAATATTATTAAATACAGTATGGCCATTTATTTACATATAAATACTGAATTTCTGGAAAATATATACAGTATTTTCCACAAGGTGACTGTGTAAGACAGACAGGTGACTGTGAGACAGGCAGGTGACTGTGTGAGACAGGAAGGTGACTGTGAGACAGGCAGGTGACTGTGTGAGACAGGCAGGTGACTGTGTGAGACAGGCAGGTGACTGTGTGAGACAGGCAGGTGACTGTGTGAGACAGGCAGGTGACTGTGTAAGACAGACAGGTGACTGTGTAAGATAGACAGGTGACTGTGTAAGAGAGGCAGGTGACTGTGTAAGACAGGCAGGGGACTGTGTAAGACAGGCAGGTGACTGTGTAAGACAGGCAGGTGACTGTGTGAGACAGGCAGGTGACTGTGTGAGACAGGCAGGTGACTGTGAGACAGGCAGGTGACTGTGTAAGACAGGCAGGTGACTGTGTAAGACAGGCAGGTGACTGTGTGAGACAGGCAGGTGACTGTGAGACAGGCAGGTGACTGTGTAAGACAGGCAGGTGACTGTGTGAGAGTGGCAGAAATTGAGAAGAAGGAATTTGTGGTCTTTGGTGAGAGACAACGATGTATAAAGGAAGAAGAGAGAGAGAGAGAGAGAGAGAGAGAGAGAGAGAGAGAGAGAGAGAGAGAGAGAGAGAGAGAGAGAGAGAGAGAGAGAGAGAGAGAGAGAGGGAGAGAGAGAGAGAGTCGAGGAAAGGTTTCATTAGACATTTATTATTATTATTAATGGTGAAGCACTAAACCCGTAAGTGTCATACAGTACTTGGTGAATGGAAAGTAATTAGGCAGTTTCTTCGCCCTGATCATCGGTGACGAATTTTCTCAGCTCTCTCCCTGAGAGTTAGTCAGGACGCCATACATGAGTAAATAAGCTTATTTAGGTACAGGTACACGTAAGTACAGTTATCATACATAGTTTAATATATGTGTAAATTACCTAGGACAACCCCTTCCCCCCCCCAAAAAAAAAAAATCGGACAAGTGACATATCCATTGGGGTCCTGTCTGCTCTGAGGATTTCTACGGCCTGGAAGAAGCCGGTTGTTTACTCAGTGGATGTTGACGCTGCCTTGATTTAAAAATACCCGGACGATGACCGACAGATATTTCACTGATCAGACATACAGCCGAACGGATAATTGGGTTAGTTTAAGGTTAGGTTGGGTTAAGTTAGTTTAAGGTTAGGTTAGGTTAGGTTAAGGTTAGGTTAGGTTAGGGGTTAGGTTAGGTGAGGTTAGGTGACAGGTTAGGTTAGGTTAGGTTAGGTTAGGTTAGGTTAGGTTAGGTTAGGTTAAGTTAGGTTAAGTTAAGGTTAGGTTATGTTAAGGTTAGGTTACTGTTGGGGTTAGGTTAGGTTTGCTATTTTATGTTCTTTTTAATTTTGTTTTTATTTCTTTTTAATGTTTGGGAAACATGCTGTGATGAATCCCAGTTCGGCCATTTGGCCATTCAGTGAAATGTCCGTTCGGCCAAGTGTCCGTCGGTCATCTGTCCGGGATCCGATTTTAAGGTGGGCTCACCTGACTAAGTGGAAAGTTTTTGTTCCCGTCTCTATTCTCAAAAAAGTCCTGTTCCCTTCCCAGTTTCCTTTCAGCTGTGGGCACAATTTCGTCCCCAGAAACTGGAAAGCATGTCTCAAAACAATTTAAGCTGTGGTGACCTTGTTAAAGATTAAAGATTCTTTATTTCAACATGATACAATGTTTGCACAGAGAAGGGTGACATTTAGGTACGCATTCAGAAAGCCCTGAGTATTCAGAGTATTCGGACAAAGAAATAAAAGAAAAAGCTTAGGGACTTCAGCAGTAGTCTTTAGCTTTTTTTAGTTGTGTCTTATAAGCGGCTACATTATTGTGCACCCGCAGCTCGTCCTGTGAACGGCAGTGAAAAAAAAAAACAGTATTACAGAGGTCAGAATGGGTATCGTTCTCCACTGACCGTTGTTACATCGCTAGAAATATTAGTTATTTCATATTTTACAATAACTTCATATACTTAATAAATGTAACAAGATCACATTAAACAGGTGATATCACAATATGCAAAAAAAAAACCACTGTGAAAAATAGTGAACATCCAAGCTCTTTCGTGATTTCTCAATATTAAGTCCTTGATAATGTGTCGTGTTCTACCGTCCTCAGCATCAGTGACAATTTTCCTCGTTCTCTTCCCGGGACGTTTGTCATTATACACAGCTCTGTGAGCAATTGGGATATGTGTGGTCATCTGGCTCTGACGGGATTTATCTAAAGATATCTATTTGACTTACTTAAGAGCAGTTGTTTCCGTTTCTGTTGCCAGAGGAAGTCTTATTTCCTTTCTAATTCCCGCCGAAATTTGAGCAATATATTTTTTTAATCGAGTTTCAGCAAAGTTGTAGATGAGGGGAACAAACTTCCATTGAAACGAGAGCCTTGGATAGCTTGAAATTTAGGTTGGACAGGTACAGAAGTGGGTGTGGGTGGGTTTGAGCTGAGCTTGCTTGGCATGGACCAGTAAACCTGCTGCTCAATACAACGTAAGCTGTGGTGGCCCTCCAAACCAACAACAACAAGGTGATTAAATTTTATCTGCTTTCTGGCTTGCCTTGGTGGGGTGCAGACGTCTCACTATTCTGAGTATTTGGTGGCAAATTTTTCCCACTCTTCCTGAGATACTTATCCTCACCTTATTCTGCCTACATGGATACATTAAAAGCCCCATTTTTACCGGCTTCTGTGAAACGCCGGTTACTGATTCAAGTGGGACTGTAGTCGTTCCGCTCTGTTGGGGCTAAGGGCAGGGAGTCCACCTAACCTAATTTGGAATATTATTATTACATTCAGGAGGGGAGAGCTAAATATATATGAGTCATACATCCTGGGGTCATAGGAGGCAATCAAGCTTGATTTAAGCAAGGGAAGGTCAAGTTCATTTCCTTGGATCAAAAAGCCACCTTCACCGACTTCAGGAGACCTATTTGGTATCATTTTGTTACCGTTTCTATATTCAAAGGAAACTCCTGTTCGGTTTCCTCTCATTATCCAGTTCTGGGCATTATTTATTTCTCTTACATCTGGAAGCAGGGCTACCTCTCAAGGGAGGTGCCTTGGCGTTGGTGAGGGGCTCTTGATCTAGGGAATTGGATCTGTGATCCGGTTCCCTGAATTGAGCCTGAATGCCTTCCATCCCCCCACATGCGCTGTATAATCCTGTAGGTTTAGCGCTCCCCTATGATTATAATAATGGAAGCAGGGCACTATACTGCTGAAGGTATCAGTGGCCCTAGAAACAATAGCAATTTGGAATTTTTTTTTACTCTTTGGGGTTTGTTCTTTTAAATCACTTGATAACATAACTTACCAAATCGTAATAACAAGATTGGAAACAAATAATGGTAGGGATGGGGTTAGAACCCATGGCAAGTGAGTCATCCACCCCATTGCGTAAGCCACTAGCCAGCTGACGCAGTGGCTTATGCACTTGCCTCCAGTTTTACGACCCGCTTACCATGAGTTTTCTTTTTGATTATAATTCTTTTTGATTATAATAATTACCATGAGTTGAAATCCCACCCGTTACATGGTTTGTTTACCAAGACAAACGCATCAACAGCGTTGAAGAAATATACTTCAGTGTATATCCAAGAGTGACTGTATGCTCACCAGACTCATAAGCTC